TCTGCCCGTCAAGAAATATATTCCTGCTGTAAACAATGACCAACTCCCTTTAAAATCCTTTGCCGGTGTTCAATACAAAGTTTTGTATTTATTCCTGTACGTTTTGGATCAGGTCTTTAAATCCATGAAATGTATTTTCAAAGGTATCCCAGACCATAAGGGGAGTTAATAACCCAGCAATGGTCATTGTTGTTGGGTTATTCATGGTCTGTCTCAAAGTTTGACTATTTTGGAAAGCTTCTATAGGTATGTCGGTGGTAAAAGGAAGACTAAGGAGAATGTGGGCACTCTTCAGAAGAAAACAGGAGACCTGGTTACCTGGGCTATGGAGAAGGCTGAGGTACCCAATGACTTTTTTGCCTCAATCTTCACCGGCAAGTGCTTAAGCCACACTGCTCAAGTCGCAGAAGGCGAAGGCAGGGACTGGGAGAATGAAGAACTGCCCACTGTAGGAGAAGATCAGGTTCAAGACCATCTAAGGAACCTGAAGGTGCACAAGACGATGAGATGCATCTGCTGGGCATGGTGGTGTTGGGTTGATGGTTGGACTTGATGATCTTAACGGTCTTTTCCAACCTTAATGATTGTGTGATTCTGTGAGTCCTGAGGGAACTGGTGGATGAAGTTGCTAAGCCACTATCCATTATGTCTGAGAAGCCGTGGCAGTCTGGAGAAGTTCCTACTGACTGAAAAAGGGGAAACATAACCCCTGTTTTTAAAAAGGGAAAGAAGGAAGACCTGTGAAAAAGGGGAAACATAACCCCTGTTTTTAAAAAGGGAAAGAAGGAAGACCTGGGGAACTACAGGCCAGGCAGTCTCACCTCTGTGCCCGGCAAGATCATGGAGCAGATCTTCCTGGAAACTATGCTAAGGCACATGGAAACAAGGAGGTGATTGGTGACAGCTCACTAAGGGAAAATCGTGCCTGAAAAATTTGGTGGCCTTCTGTGATGAGGTTACAGTGCTGGTGGGGAAGGGAAGAGCAACTGATGTCATCTACCTGGACTTGTGCAAAGCATTTGACACTGTCCAGCACGACATCCTTGGCAGGGGAGTTGCAACTAGATGATCTTTAAGGTCCTTTCCAACCCAAACCATTCTATGATTCTATATAAGGATGTGAAATTAAGAATTTCAGAACTAGCTACAATCTACAGGAATAAATTTGCCTTGGAGAGCTAAAGCCTGGTTCCACTGAAGTCAGTGGCAAAA